GAGTAACAAATATAATTAACAGCAATCATTTAGCTGTTCAATTTGATGAACAATTTTCATCATTGATGACGTACAACGGAAATTTCATTGCAATAGGTATAGTTAATTTTTTTTATTATTATGCTAAAGTGATACACAACTTTTTATAAATATTAAATGCGGTATTGGTCAAGTAGACACATCCAAACAAATTACCCAACACAAAATTACTAATCAACTTGAAGGCTGTCATTTTACGAAAAAAGAAATCATTAACATACTTTATACAAGGTATTCCTTAATGCAATGCGAATATTTAAAGGTCTGAATCTACATGAAAATAATTTTTATAAACTATAATCCAAAAATGTTCAGTTACCAAAATACGAGGTGCTAAGTTTTAGGAAAATAAAAAAAAGGAAAATAATATTTTCGAAACCGCTTGAGATATTTCAGTGATATTTAGTACGTAGTAGTAAGTGGCAGTAAAGGTGCATATTTTTTTGATTTTGATATTTTTGAAGAAAAAAATATTACTCCAACGATTTTTTCCCAAATAAAAATTATTTTTCAATTCACCGTTCAAATTGAAACATAAGAGGTCTCTTTAGTTGTTTTCCTGCGATGCGTCGTTTTTGAGTAAAAAAATAAAAACCGTATTGTCTAAGAAAATTAATGAAATTATCAAAGAATACAATTTGGCATTTTTGAACCACACTTTATAAAGCAAATTATCATTAATTTTTTATGTGGATTCACACCTTTAAATATTCGCATATCATTAAAGAACTTTCAACTTTCTCGCAAAATTTTCCAAAAACCATTATAGAAAATTATAAAGAACGAATATACATAACACGAAAAGCAAAAAAGCTAGTAGGTAGGATTTATTTGAAAATTAGCAAGCAATATAGGATATCTGTAATAACATCTATTCTATATACATGCAAAATTACGGTTTTAAATCAGTTTACGTTTTAAATCTGAATACAAAAATTACAGGATGTAGTTGGAAGTTAAAAAAATGTTAATTACTAATCTATTACAAAAAAAAAATCATGCCAAATCTATCAGCATGCTTGGTTAGTTATTAATATAATTACCGTGATAAGATAGTTTATCTCCCAGTTTTAAACCATTTTATTGTGTTATTATTTAAGCTAATAGAAAACTGTTAATAGTAAGAATTTATAACTTAAAATAGGATTGGGTTATTTCAAGCGAATACGTTTCTGCTATTCACCAAATACAGTGGTTTTCTGAAAAATCAAAAATAATTGTTAGTGCTGCAAAATCTTCGTGTGGATATAAAACCAAAGTATATGTGCAAAAAAATTTAAATGTGTTATAATTAACAAAAGTAAAACAATTAAGTATCTTTTAATACTAAATTCAGAATTTTAAATATAAACTAGATAGTCCTGGTTTTCATAGAGATCACCCGTTTATGGACAAAAAAATTTATAATTAACATTTTTAGTAATACCTACTTATATTTTTCTTGATTTTTCTGGGATATGTGTATGAAGTTTCGGGAAAATTTCCATGCCAGATTGTGAGGAACATCGACTAGTATATCAGATTTTTGTGGGGAAATTTTGCCTGAAAATTTGGGAAAATATTTTTTTTGCGATTTTTGTAAGGAAATCAATAAATCTAGGAAATTTATTGAAACGGCTAAATTAGCTCATAGCAGCAAAAGAAATCACCAGAAACAATATCACTGGAAGGAACATTCTCATCTATACAGATAGCAGACAAGCACTACTCGCCTTGAACAGACCACGAATTTACTCAGGATTAGTGCTAGAATGTTGCGAAGCTTTGGCCAAAGTATCCATCAACAATGTGGTCACCTTAAGATAGATCAAAGGTCACTCCATATCTTGCCGGTTCACTAGCCAAGAAGGCAGCCAACCAAATACTGTTTGGACCTGGTCCTTCTATTGGACTGACAACATCGGTAGTGACAAACCTAATTAAAGAACATTCCCTTGTGAAATACAAGAAAAGTTGGGATGAAACAAGAAACTACAGAGTTACCAAGGAGCTTTTAAGTTATCCTGACAACACTACAGCAAACAAATACTTGACTATGACTAGACAGAATCTGCGACTAGTCACACGCGTCCTGACTGGTCATTGCTAAGTACGGAAGCATCTCCATATCATGGGGCTGTCAGAATCCGCACATTGCAGGGGGTGCCAACAAGAAGATGAAACCATCGAGCATATCCTCTACGATTGCTCGACACCTGCCGATATAAGACAAGCACCTCTTGCATTGAATCTGTAGGCTGGCTCACGAGCTAGGAGGTGTCTATCATCTTAGGAAGATGCATAATGGGCCTAGTGAAGCCTAAGTGCCGTGAGGTAACCCACCCTCCACAAGTTACAGATACAGATCCGCTGTCAAAAAAGTTGGTTCTTCCGAAAAATCAGCGGATGACACTTTTTCGAAAGGAAAAATTTAAATTTTCCTAACTATCTGATAGATTTCTTTAAGAATCGGATAACGCTAGAGAAATTTGTAAGAGACAGATAGCACATGCTTAGGTTCTTTTTCCTTTCCAGTAATCAGTAAGAAATCATAATTTTTTTCGCCCTAGAATTTTTGACTATCTATACGTTTTGGGATTCCCTAAATCCGTTTTGACCATTTTCGTGATGTTTGTCTGTGCGTGCGTATCTGTATTCACAATGACTCAAAAACGAAAAAAAAGAGAAAAACGCCAAATATTAAACTTAAGCTTTAATCCATCCTGCAGTGAGTAGATTAGATTTTGAGCATAGTCATAGCATCTCGAGGGTACTTTATGGGGGGTCGTTTTTTTATTTTAAGGAATATTTCTGTTATTTATGATTAGAGAAAAACATTTTTCGAATAAAAGTTGTTTGTGATGATGATTTTTCTAAAATGGACCATAATGAAGAAACTTGACGAAAAGTGCAGAATTTGAAATTTTCAGTATTTCAGAAGATGAAAAATTTTTTTGAATAAATTATGTATGGAAATTTTTAATTCATATTACGAATAGCATTAGATGGACCTTAATTAATAAATTTCATAACTTTACAGGAAAGTAATGTGTTGGACACACCAGATATTTAGTTAGTGGTCGGCCACTAGCACTATTTATTACCCGAGCAGAAGAATAGATTTTAATACGCTATATTAGTTGATAGTTGACTTAACAAAACATTCTGTCATTGAATATGACATGTTTTTAGTTTTTTTTTAAATATTGTTTGCAGGTCACAAAAATTAGTTTAAAGGTATTTAACCAAATTATTTTGAATGTTTAAATAAATACAAGCTTGAAAATAATAGATATAAAATTAAATAAGTCTACTGTTCATTGTCATTGGAACACAAATTACATCATGGCTAATATAGCGTACTGACTGACGCGTTCACTGGATTTGACAGTTGCCAACTATTTCTTTTGAAGGTTTTTAAAATCAAAGGTGACTATCATCCTATGATGGCTCGTCAGCAAAAAAACTAGCAGTCACACAAAAGCAGCTAAATAGAAAATAGTAGTTACACAAAAACAAATTGGTGGTCACAAGGAACAACTGAACTAAAGAACAAACCAAAAAGGACCAAGATAAAACTCGAATACAGTGTTACTTATTCACATTTTGATAGAATTGAAAGCCTGTTTCGGTATTAGCCAAAGGAGTAGTTGTTTTCAGGAGGGAAATGGTCGCTCGTTGTTTATGTGACATGGTCTTTGAGTTTTTCTCTTTTTCCTTCATGGTTTATTTGAGAATTGGAATTTATTTCCTTTAAGAATAAAGAGACTGTTATCTATAAAAGTGCGATTCAAGGAATGGAACAAGCATATTTGGCACAGTCCTCATGTACGAGCCGCCACTGCTATCATCGAGCCAGCCGGAGGAATTTATAAGTTGAATGAATGGGAAGAAGTAGGGCAGCCAAATGGTGATACAAATGGGATATCAGTGTCACCATATTTGAACCACAGATGAGGGAAATCAGACAAACACCAAAGCATCTTTGGGAGGAATCTGGACCTCTCAAGGGGAAGGCAGGGGGATGTCTAAAAGAGTGAAAATACTCTATATGAAAATCAAAATATTAGAGATGAAATAGCTCGTATACAGCAATAAACTCGGAAAATTATGTAAAAAAAGTTAGGCAGAGGATCTTCAAGCGATTTGACAAGTCCTGTATATGCGGATTGATCAGTAAGTACGTGGCTTAAAACACTTCTTTACCATCTTTTATTAGGTTAAATATGACAGTACAGAATAATCTGCCAATTACTGTATTTTTGACAGTACTCCAAAATGAACGTCTCGTGTGATTTTGTAAACAATGGAAAAAAATGATTGGAGAGTAGTAATAAAGTACTAACCGAAATCAAAGCAGAGCTGGATTCAATACTATAGGAATGTGCTCCTTCGTTTTCAATGATTACAAACAAATCATGAACCTCGCAGTGGACGTCCAGAAACTACTACTGTCCTCAATGTGATTGAAAAAATCCACCATAACGTATTGGAAAACCGTCCAGTAAAAGTACGCGAGATAGCAGACATCTCAATCTCAAATGACAGTATGCACATAATTTTAACTGAAGAATTCGAAATTAAAAAATACTAAGCGCGCTGGGTGCTGCGATTGCTCACACCAAAGCAGAAACTGAATCATTTGAGTATCTCTCCTGACCCTTTCGCCAGAATCCGAAGGACTTTCTGCACAGTTTCATAACCGTATATAAAACAACCTGGGTCCTCCAATTACACTCCAGAAACCAAAGAGCAGTCGAAACAATGAACACATAAATATTCTCCGCCTTCAAAGAAGGCAAAAACGGTTTTATCAGCGAATAGAACGTGTTTTAGATACATAACTGGCTCCTTCCAATGATAATTAACTTTCTTAAAATACATACACTGTTTTACTTTTGTTACAATTATTAATTCAATAGCAAATAAAATTATTGAACTATCTACTACAAACTACGGAAAAGCACACTGCGGATACGAACCTATTAACCATAGGCGATGCTGCAGCAAAATTAAAGTTTGCAGTAAAATTTCTCAACGACGCCACTTGGCTTCTCGTTAAACTGGAAACCCGACTGCGACTGCCGACGTTACTACATCAAAATTATCAAATAAAACACAAAAAGAAAAATAAAATTAAGTACATTAAAAAGCGAACAAAAGAAAAAAGAAAGCACAACATCTACCCTTGAAATAGAAAACCAACATCAAGCAATTTTACTACGTTGTATAGGTATTGTATAATAGGATATGAAGTAGTATATTATTAACTAGCTTGCAAGTGGCTTTATCAAATAGCATAATACATACTAAACAGGAAAGTACTCTATTACAGCCGAGCGTCACCCTATAGACGTGAGGTTAGAATGAGTTCACCAGAGGTATGTATACGATTTTATTCACAGTCTCCTATTTTATATGTTCCAAATAATAATATTGGTATTAATTTCTATTTTTTTTAACAGAGATACCTGTGCAACCGTTGCTAGGTAATATAAGTTGGTTGAATCTGAAGTTAGATAATTAATTTGTCAGTTACGTACTGAATGGCATTTTTGTCTTTATATTATACGGGGTCCCTACTATTTCATAGGGACAGTATTAATATATTAAAATGGTTCCAAGAAACCTTTGATATTTACAGGCAGATTCAAAGGTTTCTTGACACCATCTTAATGAGAACAAAACTGCACAACTTTTGTTTAATTTAATCAACTTTCTATTACCGTTTAAGAAATATCAACACTGTTCCTATGAAATAGTAGCCCGATAATTAAATTAAGTGAACCCCACCAGAACTACAAGTAGCTACAGGAAAAGGTACCTAAGGCATGATTCCGGAAAAAAGCAGGAAGAGATATAAAAACACTCACGAAGTATATCATAGTAAATGGTAGACGAGGAAGTGACACAAGCTAGCCGGGAAAGTTACTAGTTAGATATTTTAGAAATGCTTAGAAATGTGAGCTGGGACCTTCGAAAACAACCTTTAGACCTCCATGAATATTATAGGAGGCTACTTAGAAAAACATTTCTAATTAACTAAAATCTGTCAAAATAGGGTTCATTTATAAACGTTTTAGTAATAGTAATAGTCTTAGTCTTAATACAATTTCTCGTTTATACTCGTTTTAGTAATTAGCCTTTTTACTGGGAAGATTTAAAAAAGATCCGCTAGGGGCAGCACCGGTGGGGGTACATATGTTTCGAATTCTCTATTGACAACAACGTCAAACGTACGTTTTATTATTAGAATAAATAAATATTGTGATAAATAAAATTAAAAAACAAATTGTCATGTCTACAAAACATTGTGCGTTTGCTAATTGTACGACTGACAATCGTTACAAGCAAGATGGTGTAAAATTTGTGCCTTTTATAAAACCATAAGTTGACAAAAATAAGTGTTTGGTGTGGATATATTTATCACGAAGGGCAGATTTAACAGTTAAAAAAATAAAAATAGACATACCTTTATTTGTACAAGACATTTTATTAATTTAAATGGACCAACAATAGAAAACCCAAATCCATTGCCAGCGACAGGTTAGTAATTCTTTATTTAAAGAGGTTATATTTTATATCAGTCTACATATTATCATTATTGATAGTAAATAATAAACTTAAACTTCTTTTTAATTGTGTATGAAATATAAAATTTTGTGGTTTTAATTATCAAACGTAAAAGACAGCAACGATGTATTGAAGAGGACTCCAGCACTGGAAAAAATAAACGTCAAAAACTTATCTGTTCTACTGTTACTGATGTTGAATCACTAACTGGACAAATTAGTAATAAAAATGCAAATAGTAATCAAGAATCCCAATTAAATAATTATTTAGCCTCTGATCTTGCACTTTTGCAAATTTCAATTTCGCTCCAGGTACATCATCTTCAGTTAATTCCATTATAAATCTATACATTTGACGTTGTTATCAATAGAAAATTCAAAACATATGTACCCCCCACCGGTGCTGCCCCTAGCGGATCTTTTTTAAATCTTCCCAGGAAAAAGGCTAATAGTAATGAGCGTAAGAATGACATGAATGACATAAAAATCAGAAAGAAAAGGGGACATTATGCTGTGTTTCAACACACGACATATTAGGTTTGACATTTTTTTTGTCAAATTTCAGCAGTTTTTTATTTTTGTGAAAATAAAGTTCAAAGACTATTACAATTGCTAGTACTAAAACGACTATTATAAATGGCTTCGTTATATTGTGCATGTTCAACTTAGGATTGAGACTATTACTGTTACTATTACTAAAACGAGTTTAAATGAACCCTTAATAACTTAGAATACAATAGGTATTATGTAAAAATGTAAAAGTCTCATTAGGTATTTTTAAAAACTTATTCAGTCGATAATAAATGATAGCTAGTTAAATTCCAATTACCAATTAATAAACAGTCTATTTCTTATTAACCAGTAACCAGTTAAAATTACCAGTATTTTGTGAATTATCTTTTTTCACATTAAAATTTAAAAATCTCCCAAAATTATTAACTTTAGATATAGGGAATGCTCAAATGAAACTTTAATTTATATATTTTTAAATGGTGATAAAAATGAGAAAATTATGTATTTGAGTTTTGACCCACCCTGTACAGATTTAATCTGAATTGAAAAAATGTTGACTAATATCGAAAACATTTGCCGCAAAAAAAAAAGGTTTTCAATTGTTTCTTTTGCAGTAATCAGGTCATTGAAAACAATACGATTTTCATATAAAACTGGTTACAGCGTGTGAAATTCCCTGTATAATCTCAAACTATTTGGTATTGTTATAATGGAAAAAGCAAGGGCAATTCAAACAAAATAAAATTTAAAAATCTAACTTTGATATGTATAACTTTCCTGGAAAACCCTGTATAATTGAAATTATGTTAAATTAATGTCTTTTCTAATATACATCTCACTGTAAAACAGATTAAAAGCAATCAAATAGTTTTGACCTTACAGACCCGAAGCATTACCGGCGACCCACCCTATATATACCAATATTTATATTTGATCTCTTCGTCTTTGAGACAATATAAATAATAAAAAATAATTTCTTCCCTTTTTAACGCCCTTAACTTGATTTAAAAAAAAAATAGCAAAATGGATAAAACAATTCAACTCACTATCTCCTCTTAGGGGCAGCATTTTAAAAAAACATGTGAATTAAATAATTAAATTTGGATGTTATGAAATAATTAATATATTAAGCCGGTCTAATTGTTTACAATTTTTACCATTAAAACCTTAAAAAATATGATTTCCCTGAAATGAGTGAAAATTAAAAAAAAACACCTTTTTTTAATATTATCTTGTCAAATTATTTAGATATCAGCTGGCCAGATATCTATATGACATACAATATAGATATTCCTATATTTTTTCTAAATGAAACAATGTAAATATAATTAAGAAAAATGAAAATTTAGGGATAAAATGTATAAATAAACATACAACGAAATCTTTTTACACTATTAAACATAGTTCTTACCATTTTTAGAATATATTATTTAATATACAGCGTGTCCCAACCAAAAGTACTCACTCTTAATAACTACTGAGGTAATAACTTTCTAAAAGTGGTGAAATACGTCGACCTTGATTTCAAGGGGGACATTTTACCATAATACTTGTATCCCCTTTACCCTACACAGTCACCCCCTTCAGGTTTGTGAAAATAACTGTTTTAATAATTTTGGATTTTAAAAATAAAAACACGAAATTAAAGTGATCGCTTATTTCTTCAAGAAATAATTCTTGGAATTACCCAACTAATTATTATTAGAAAGTTATTACATCCGCAGATATTTAGGGTGGGTACTTTTCGTTGGGACATCCTGTATTCCAAAACATCTTATTTCCAGGTAGGTACTTATTTGGAGAAAGTTTATTTCTATATATTTAAAAATTACATTTATTGACTAAATTAATAAATAGCATACAATTGTGAGAAAATATATTAAAACTCCATATCCTATTAGACTTTTTTAGAAATATTCCATGCATATATTAACTTAAAAGAAACTTACTCAGGTGTTATTGTAATATCAGAGAGCCTGCTGTCATTAGTTAAACTATAATGGCGCCGCATTTGTACTTCATTTTCTAACTTTATATCACAGTTCTGCAAAGGAAAATGTATGTCCTATAAGTAAAATTTTATCTTATAAATAGGAAATTAAAAGGGACAGTAATTGAATAAACGTCCGCTTGGGGTACCAAGACGATCTATGGCTCATAGAAAGATAAAATATGGATTAAAAACATAAATTATAGACATTAAGACAATATAAAGAAAATAACACAGACGATCATTATTAAAAAGCTTACTTTTTTTCCGTATTTCTCCTCAACATCTTCCTTCATCAAGGCGAAACATTCTTCTAGGCGTTTCTGCAACGGTTGCAGATTATCAGGTACCTTTTGTTTGTGGATTTGGATACACAGATCCAAAAGGGGAATCTGGTCTGCTATCAAATCTTTCAATTTTTCTACGAGGATTTTATCTTCGGGATGGTGCAACGAGTAATCCGCAGTGAAGAACACTTCTTCGTAGTTTTTTATTCCGCCCATGACGGCGGGGTCTAATATACCTGTTGAAAATCAAATTATTTCAAATATTCTAATAAATAAATCTCTACACACATCACTGATTCTTATCCCATAGAAATATACGAATAGAGACATGTTCCATATGCCCCTAGAGGATGTGCAATAGGCCTAATGAGGCACAAGTACTGTAGAGCAACCCCCTCTCCATCTTACATATACAGGGTGTTATTGAACATGTAGATACCAAGTTTTTCATTAGATGTTCAAATAATAAAAATGAGACAGAAACATAAAAAAAATCAAATTTTTATAGGAGCTGTGGCATTATAATCTTCTTTTAACGAATGCGAGAGAGCCTGCGTAAGTACACAGGGAGCGTTGCTTGTCAACTGTTATTTTTATTAATCTGAAAACCCTTTCATTGCCATTCCATCAGATTTATCAGCACAATGGATTTCATCGATGAATTCATGTTGAATTTAAAAACTTGTCCAATCAAAATTAATTACTTTGAAATGACGGTTTCATTGTATGGAACTTTTGGAAAAAATGTTCGGCAAGGTTTCTGACTGGCGTGGAACAATGGTCATGAAAAATGATGTCCCAATATTTAAATTGTAGAAGTTAATGCTAAAATTGGTGCCATTCAGCTCCATGTTGGGCGGCGCCAAATATGCAATGGTTTTTACTACTCTTAAGAGATTTCTACAGATGTTAACTAGTTGAATATGTGATTGAGGTACAAACTAATATTGTAACGTGGATTTTTAAAATTGACCAGTTCAAGAGAAGTTCAACCTGTTCGCGGACTAAAATCTACTTTAAGATAATTAAAATTAATAGGCAGAAAATTAATAAAAAAAATAGAGTCAAAGGAAAAAGAAAAGAGTTCGTTGAGCGTCACCAAGTTTTTCTGAAAACTTGGAAAAGAAACTGATCTTAAAAATACGTTTAGCCAAAAGCTTCTGTTGGCTCAAAACCAACCTGAAAAGAATGAAAAATGTAAACTAGCAAATTACAATTAAAACAATGAAAACAAAATCAAAACAAAAAGTTCACGGTGACTAGTACGATGTATTTCCCTGTGGGATACTGGAGCTGAAGTTTACTGGAGCTCCCCAAAACTAAAGAAAGTGCTTGATTTTAATGCAGGATGCAGCTGGACTTGTAGATATCCAATATTCTGGTGCTATTCGCATTATTGTAGTTGGACTTATATTCCAGTAGAGAGTTGGATAAGGAGTTAGAGATATCCTTCGATAGCTAGATGACATAATCTAAAATAACGGAGCCCCACAATAGATCTGAAAAGGTCATGGTGGACAAGGACAAATAAGGAAGGAATTGGAGATATTCTTGGATGGAATGTACTTGAAGATATTCTTGACGGAATTGGAGATATTCTTAGAAAAAGTGTACTGACAATTATGACACAAGCACACCTGATACTTAAAGATATTTAATAATAATAATATTAATAGATAATAATTTTAAAACTTTGTTAAAAGCCACTTTGAAAGAAAGCTTTCAAATCCAGGCCCAATCAACAGTTGCGAGAAATAACATCACATCAAGATAGTAATGGTAGTCGGAACGTGACGTCTTTCTTCGATTCACCAGCCACAGCTCAAAAAATGGAGTCTCAGAGAATTTGTTAGCCGAAAAAACTAAAGATACAACTCTGTGACTCTCTCGTTCTAAGTAATGCAAATTATTGTGATTTTGTATATGGACCTTGTCTTTCAGTAACAGATTCAAATAGGTTACAAAAACTACAAAATGTCTGCCTTCGACTTATATATGGAATTAAAAAAATTGATAGAATTTCCCATACACTAGCAAATGCCAGATGGTTAAATATGTTAAATAGGAGAAAACTTCATTCATTAACCCTGTTTCACAAAATTTTAATTAAAAAAAGTCCTCCATATCTTTGGAATAAAATTATTTATCGTTCTGATGTTCATAGTAGAAATACACGAAAAAAAAAATTCTATTGAGATTCCAAAACACTAAACACAACAATTTAAAAACTCGTTTTCATATCAGATAGCAAAGGAGTATAATAATATTCCTGTTTCCCTAATTAATTTATCCATAGCATCATTTAAAACAAAAATGTTTAAAATATTATATGATGATCAATGCACAAATTTGTAAGTTTGTAATCTGATTTTGTTTGGTTTATATAAGGCTACATAAATTACTAAAAGATTTTGTTTATACTACTTTTTTTGTTTTAGTTTTGTTTATTATATACATGTGTTACACCCTATTAGATTACATTTGCAGGCCTTTGAGGAAGAACAGCTTGAGCTGATCTTAGGACCTTTTGACCATATTTATTTCTGGTACTTTATTTTTTTTTTAATTTAATTTTATTTTTTTTTCAAATATTGTATTTTAAATGGTCAATAAATATTATTTTTTTTGTGTCATCGGCTTCAACTACCAGGGTTATTTCGCCTCGTGTTCTGTGTAGGCTTTGTTACTGTTTCCCAGCGCCACTTTAGGAACAGCACTGTTAATTAGAACCCAACAGTGAATGGTCGAGTGGGGAATCCTACCAAAGCATCAGAATTAATTTCAAATAATTAAATTAAATTAAAAAATCCCGGACAACGGTGGGATTCGAACCCGGGACCCTTGGATCCACAGGCAGAGACTCTACCACTGAGCCACCCACCCCGTATATTATTATTAATAAATTAAGAAAAATAGAAATTAATTATTAAAACTTTAAAAATGTATTTATCACACACTCTTATCATTTTTAATATGTTCATGTATTTCAATTATACAATGTACAATTCAATTAAACAATGTACAACAAAATCCACACTCTTACCATTCAACGTCAAACTCAACGGATTGATCTGCAGATTTTTATCTTTATTGTAAAGAATCACATAATTCATAAGCGTTTTATTCGTCTTTTCCATGGTTTCGATGGCATTTCTCAGAGGCGAGATCTCTTGGACTTGAGTGTGTTCTACGGGAAACCACCTCAGGATACCAGGAAGGGGATAAGTCGTCGTCAAATCTGTCCTTTCGAGCCACAGATGTGCGAAATCGTTCGTGCTTTCGATTAACGGATCCCTTCTGGTAAACGGTCTCGAAAACGTGAACTTTTGAATGTTGTTTACTCTGTAGAATTTTACGATTTGGTCCGATATTGGTTTTCCCGAAAACCGCTGTTTTTTCTCGTCCATCACTGGATCGACTTTGTTAATTTGAATGTCTATAAATTTGATTAAGGAAATGTATCACTAGAAATGATGAAAGAATAATCAATTTGCGAGATTGCAGAAATTGCAATGGTAAAAAACATTATTATATAGTAATACTAGGTAATCATGGATCTCTTGGAAATGTTTGTCAGACAAGTTCGATGGAAAAGTGTATTGCGCCCGCGCGAAATGAAATTAAATAATTTGGCTGAATTTCTGATTTAACGATGTTTTCGAATTTTGAATATCAGCCTCATCTGAAAAACTAATTAGTTTCAGATGAGAATGTACCTAATAATATACAACAGACTTAACATAACCCCAAAAAAACTTCACCTAAAACCTTTACATATTACAGTTACTGCTGAAATCCAAATTTAAAATAAGTGAAAACTTACAAATAATTATAAAATAAAGGTTATTACAAAAAAAGGATACATTGTTTAGAAGATCCGACGATTTCCTCTCCCGGTTGCGTAAGTTTATTCAACAACTCAGCTTTAGGAAACTCATTGAGTATCCTAGCATTGAAATCGGCCAATCGTTCGTACTCCTTCCCTCGATAGATAAATACTTTGTTGCTGAGAAATTTTGGAAATCCCTTTCCGAAATAACCGACGCGAAAATATTCGGGCTCCGCTCTAGCCTTTTTCATAATATCATCGTAGAAAACGGCCATCTGATGGTGCAGCTTGCTGAGGCGTTCGTAATCAAAGGTTTTTTCCTCGTATTGCCCAGCCAGTTCCTGGCATTTCTTTATTGCACATTCCCACATCTGTAACAGATAACAAGAATACAATTTTTCATGACATAAAATACATTGTGAAGGATTTGTCGTATTTCTGTCTATACTGGATGATATGAAAAAGAAATTTTGAGAAAGTCAGATATTTAAACTTTTAACTGTTCTATTGCTATTTTGATATGTAATAACATTGCAAGGTTGGTTGTTTCCAGAAATAACCATTCATTGATAAAATGTAATACTCAAGATGCCAAGATTAATTCGAATATCAATTCGCTCTAATGGCAGGACTCCGACGAGGAGACGAAAGGTGAGAAGTAAGAGAGAAGAATTTTACGCAGATACAACTTTTTTATCAATGAATAATGTAAGCCGCTGTGCGCTTATAATAAACAACGTAAATATCCATGCCAGTGTAAGCCCTGTTGCCACTTCCAACTTAACATGACTAGGTTTTGGAATTTACTGAAAATTATTACAACTACTTTAGTTAAATTTGATATAACTAATGATTCAAAAATTTTTGGGTTCAGTTGCAATAAAATAGGTTGAATTATTTTAGCTTTTTTAATATATGCAAATAATTTTGTAAACAAAACGAGAATAATGAAATAGGCATATGACAACAGCGGATATTATACCCTCGCTGTGTCCCTTAGAATATGTCTTATTTAAGACGGCACGATATTTGTTAGTAGTTACATTTCCTGTTATCTCTGGTTGTTAGGATTTAATCAGTTCCATTTAAGTATTCAAGCTGAGAATAGCAGCTACAATTCAAGTCTCTGGGTATAAATATATTTTTTTTTTTTTCGGAGAAGTATCCATTGAAGCACTTTTTCGTCTTTTCGTCTCGTAAGGCAACAGCAAACAGCAAATAAATATACTGAGTATATTCTTAAAAACAACCTTACATATATTCTTGTATATCTCATAATACTTAGATTAGATTACTTCTAAATATATTGTTGCAAGAACGCCTAAGGTAACCCTGTTCTTCTCACCGTTGTAAGCCGCTTCGTCTATGTTTCGATCCGCAGGACAGAGACAAACGCATTGCTTCGAGAAGCTACCAGAAAAAGCGTTACACGGCCGTTAAGTCATAGAGAGGAAGTTTCCGTACGTTCTGGATCGCCCAGAGTGTTCTGGTACAGAGCTAGCTTCATATAAATAGCGCGAGTTTATAGATGGGCGAAAATTTTCAATTTTTTTTTTACAGAACTCCCAAATTATGATAGTATAATATTAAAATTGCTGAATTTCAATATTCTTCTTTATCATTCCAGAAATGCCATAATTTTCAGAATGTGTCGACCTAATCAGAAAGTGTTTAAAATAGGAATTAAGGATATACAAATTATAAAAATAAACGATATTTACTTACTTTTCCTTTACTGTAATTTTCAATAATGGTATAATACAAGTCCTCTTTGAGTTGTCGATGTGTTTTAGCTCCATCATGCTTATCGCCTTTTAACAAGGAATTCAACGTCTCATCTGACCAATGTAACAATTTCGTGTGCAACTCCAAAGTATAAGCAGCTTCGGTGAAATTGTCACATTCCAAATGCAGCTCGTACAGTTTGTTTAGGTAACGTATGTACATTTCTTTTTTGTTTATTTCCGAGTAGAAGTCCTGAAACGAATTAAAACCATCGGAAATTGTTCCAACTGAATACAAACCAAACTTACCAATAAATTAACTGTACAACTCATTGTACTTTCCTTATTCTCATCGATAATTATACTCCTATATTCCAACAAGCTCTCCATCAACCGCGATACGATCTTAACGAACTTGACACCTTCTTCGTTCATGGTGGTGTGTTTTGAACACAAATCGACCATAATATCATGAAACATGTTCTTGTAATCGTGATCGCCTTTACCGCCTTCGAATAAAGCGTCCAGCTTGACGATCATCTCGTTTTCGAAGTCCGAAAAATTGGCTTTTATGTGAGACGAGTCTCGTTTGGTGTCTCCATAGCTTTCGATTTCGTAGCGCGATGAATAGAACTCGCATTGCATCATATCAAAGAATATTTGAATAGTCGCTTTTCGGAGCTCGGGTTCTGGGATCAGGGTCATTTCTAGTATTAAACCTACTAGGGAGGGCACGAACTGGACTTTGTTTTGACCTGTAAAAATTATGTTATTTTAAATTATAATCCCTGGCCTATTTACAGTAGTTTATCAGATTTTCAAGTAAACAAATAAAAAAATGAATGGGTAATGGTCTGGGTTTATTTAAAGCCAAGATCTACTTTTTTTTTGTTATTTTCTCTTTCTCCTGGTTCCTTGATGTGATTTGTCATTTTAAATTGCAATAGAAAATTAGTTAAATTTGTTAATAATCAGTTCGGAATTGTCAGTATTTTGAATTTTATATTGTAAGCGGTTTTTTTTTGAGTTTTAAAGTTTCTGATGTTTTTTAAACAAATTAAATGTTTTATTTGCTCTAAAACATACAATTGCAGTTCCACGTCGTTTCATAGGTAAACAAACAAAATTCATAAGCGATATCTATTATGGTCTATTATTATTATTATTATATATTATCCTATTATTATCTATTATTATCTATTATTATCTATTATTATCTATTATTATCTATTATTATCTATTTTTATCTATTATTATCTATTATTATCTATTATTATCCATTATTATCTATTATTATCCATTATTCTCCATTATTATCTATTATTATATATTATTATATATTATTATCTAATAAAAGATTTATTGTCTATCTGTTTATCTATTATATCATTGAAACAGTTAATAATTTTTAATATAGGATTCCAACAAACCTTGAAAAAGGTAAATTTGGATTCAAACTTAGAAATGGAGAGGTTGAAGTTGATGAAATTAACAAAAACACTAGAATATATTCAAAACATTATGATTTTGCTATGAATCCCGACGGGAAGATGAATTTCAAGCTAGAAGCAATTTATATTTTATTCAATTCTCAACATGGTCCGTCTTCAGAATACAAATAAATTTTAATATGATGTAATACAAATTATTCTTGTGTTTAAAACTTAGTGATTAAATTAAAAATTAAGCTATGTAACTTACTTGACAAAGTAAAATAAATTTTAGTGTTCACTGGCAAGAAAACATGTACACTACTTCAAGAAAAAGTTTCTTGTGTCTTCTGAAAATTAGCAGTGGGATAGTAAAAGCGGTCTGATGACCTAAATTTAGTAAAAATATTTTTTTCATTTCTATTAAAAAAGTAAAAAAGGATATAGTTCCAACTCAAATGTGACTAAGACGTAAAATAAAATGAAAATAAATCTCAAAGCCAATCACATAATACGAGCGACCGTTTCTCTTAGAAAAACAACTACTTCTCTGGCTAATACCGTTAAAGGCATTGAATTATATCCAAAGGAAAACAGTAGAGATAGAAAATTATTTTCATCACTCTACCTTTGATTTTGCTTACTAAGGAGAATATCACTCTTGTATCGGTTTCATCCTTATTAGGACTCATCGGCCAGCAACAGACATTGGAATCTATTTCAATTAAAAACTGAACGCCCTCTATATACTCACCTAAATTAAACCACATAGATTTAATTTCAAACCCCATTTCCACTCGCATGTCTTTGTACAGATCCAGCACCCTCATTTTCTTGTTGAAAGAAAAATTATCCAATTGGAGCGCTTCTTGGGTCATAAACGCTATGGCGCAATGGAAGAAATTATTCCAAGCATCGTGTTCGAACTTTTGAAAGAAACAATCTCGGATCGTGTGCGAAAAATATCGCAACGATTTCAGTATGATGTTGTTTTGTAGCATTATCATGTCGTACCAATCCTTGGGAAACACCGAATTGCTGACTAGCTCCTTGAAGACGACCAAAATCTCCATGAGAAAGTCTAGTATGTCGAAACTAGTAGAAAAACTGTTGATGTAATTGTTGTAGTGTTCGTTGGTCATTTGTCTGAAAATGTCTATCATAACTGCGACGAGATTGCTCTAAAACACAAATTCATGATAAGTTTGCAGATAATGTGATTTTCCCATATTTTTGAATTATTTCACACGATTGTAATTCATGAATTCGATTGCCTCAAACCAATACCTCGTAAGTCCGAAATTTACCTTTTTCGGATTTTTACGCCTTTAATTTCGTTAGAACTTAAGGCGTCATCTATTGGACGATGAACCATTTACAAAAAGACGTTGCCAAGGAAATGGCGCGAAATCAATACCACGTAAATCAAATTCGATAAATGTCAAGTAAACACCTTTTAAGTCAGAGAATTTGAATAAGAGTAGTGTTACGTTTAAGTCAATAGTTGTTAGAAGTTGCAATTAATTTTGCATTTGAAAGTTTTTAAGAGACGCAAGTAGTTTATAATTGTGTTTTCGTATTAAAACATTAGTTATAACTTATTAATATTGCTCTGGAGTCGTGTTTTCTTTGAATATTGACTTACGAGCTATTGAATTATTATCTGAAATTGTGTTACGAAGTATTGTTTTTTTTTTCAGGTGTGAAAAGCAGTACAGTTAGTAATTTGAAAATGAACTCACATATAAGAAGAATTTTTGATCTATGCAATCTAGAAGAACGAAGCACAAAGAGACCCGCCAAAGATATGAGTGAATGCTTAGATATCACGACGATTTAAAAACAAAATGATGATTCCCTATTTAATATAATGGACCTTCCAGTGGATATCGCAATTAATGACAGCTTTTTGGAAAACTTTGACCCTGAAACTGCAAATTCCAGCGCACAGGTTTTAAAACATTTTTGTACTAGTCCGGATAAGAAGAAGGATAGTGATCTAAGACAATACAGTCGACAGCAATTTAGAAGAAAACCCGAATGCTCATACTATGATGATGACTTTAGAGTAAGAACCTAAAGAGTTGGTACACGGTAATATAGCAAATTTTAGCACTGTCAGTACCTCATCTCCGGATCCCATCAATCATGATCCATCTTCGTTAGTGATGCCAAATCAATCGATATTATTGCTCACGATAATACGACTAAAAATGTAGTAAAGCGAATACTGGGTATCAATACTAAGAAAATTAAAAAAGAACTAATGGAAAAAGGAAAAAAATATTTGGGATATGGAAGACCAGCAAACCAAACAAATACCTTCCACGATACACAGAGAGGAGCGTAAATTGGGACCAACATGTCCCTCGACGTTTTGTGCTAGATCTAAAAAGAGAAAATGCCATGATTTGTCTAAAAATGTAAGACAAGAGATGTTTTCACATTTTGGGACAGCTCAAAGAAAAACATTTGTGTGCAATACGGTTACCAAAGAAAGTCCAAAACAACGCAAAACAGAAAATAAAGAATCACGACGTAGTGGAACACTCAAATATGGGACAAATGAAGACAAAAAAAAGGTCTTTTCGGGTTCCGAATGAATTCATGAATACATTTATGGACAACCTGAATAAATTGCCCTCGCATTATTGTAGAAAAGATACTAATAAAATTTATTTAGAGCAGTCATTAACAACAATTATTGAGTTTTACAAAGTGTATCTAAATGCCGCGAAAGAATCAAACTGCAATGAGCCAAAATTCCCTGACCAAATTGCTAAAAAACAAAAATATCTCACTCTATAAGCCAAAAAAAGATATGAATGTGATACTTGTTGTCAATACAATGAAAAAAACCTTACCGAGTGGCAGAAACACCAACAACAAAAAGGTAGAGCTAGAGCGGAAAAGGTAAATGACAAGGAAGTAAGTTTAAGAGGAGTTAAGCATGTTGTGACCATGGATCTCCAAGCCGTAAAAGTGTGTCCCTCAACAATGGCAAGTGCTGTGTATTTTAAAACAAAGCTATTAGTTCAGGGCATATTGGCGCAGTCGTTTGCAAAATTGTTTTAAATCGCATTTTTTTTTAAATGTCCGGAAGGCTTTCCTGATTATAAAATTGTAAGATGACACTCGATATCTGTTGATGTTATTGTTTAAACAACGAAAAATTAATTAAGCCAGAAAAAATGAATCAATTGATTTAGCGCGTCATCGGGCTTTTTCTTACCCATCTTATACATTGAGTTGGAAGTGAGATAGAAGTACTTCTCTCTACTCGCGTAGGAAGAATATTGTTATAACGTAAAAAAACATAACAGCAAACAAAATTTTGAAAATGTATTTAGGTTATTTTGTTTATTATAGTTTGAATATTCGGTAAAAAATTTAAAATTATAGAATTTTAAATTTTAAGGTATATTATTTAATTCAAAAAAATTAGAATTTTCGTCAATTTTGGATTTTAAAAAATTCATAACAATTAAAGGGTTGAAGATACGATGATGGGCGTAAGGACTTTTTTTATTCAAAATATCCTAAAGAATATAAAAAAAATTAATTCATTGCAAAAAATGCATTGCAACGAGACAGTGTTACTGGTTTGACGAGACCCAAGCTGATTTACAAGCATCCACATTTGCATCACTTGTTGTGGACTACATAAGACACTTAAGTGATGGAAAACCCTTTATTTACTCAGATGGTTGCATCTACCAGAACCGAAATAGTGTTATGTCCAACGCACCAGAGCTGAGGTGCAAGTACTCAGTACTTGAAATAAATAATCAGTATTTTTTTTACTTTAACTATTTTACTTAAAGTATTTATAAACTAACGATACTTTTGGAAATGTACTTATTACATTTGAAAAAAAGTACTTGTACTTAAATTAACGCTTTTGCGGTATTACTTGTTACTTGAAAAATGTACTGGAAAATCAGAATCTACTTAAAGTTTTTTTCTGAAAATACTTAAGTAATTTTTAACAGTAAGTACTTAAATGAAAAATACTTAAAGTACTTTTGAAACTATTTTAAGTACATATTTACTATAAGTATTTTATTAAAAATACTGCACCGCCAAACAAGCTATGACTCGCATTTCATATTACTCGGACAGTAAACAGTACAGTAAAGTGACAGTAAACACGCTCAAACAAATCAAATCTTTGCGACACACGACGTCTAACGTGTGCCGATGCCGGATACCTGGTACTAATAATACTACTCGTAATAAGAGTAATAAGCATACAGTCCTAAGATAGTGTACAGTTATGACACTAAAAAAAATTTATCTTTAAAGGAAAAGATGCTAGAACTTTGTGATGCACTTTAGCTGCCCAATTTACTTAAAGTGAAATATTATTTTTGACAAAATATACAACAATTATGAAACCTCTTGCAGACTCTTGACTTTCTGCAAGGCGAATAAAATACATATTGTGACGAAAGTCTAATTTATTTTTAGTTTATTTATTTAAAAACACACTATTTACAATTTATTTCAGACGTACTATTTAATTTATGTAATATTTAGACACTAACTAACAATTCTAATTTATTTCTTACACTTTAACTTTTCAATACAATGTTCTACATTAAACTAAACTCGGCGCTGATACGTCGGCTATTTATATTAGTCCAACTCCGCTACTGGAAGATACGAGAGGCTCTCGAACATTCCTTTTTATGACTAAGCGGCACTCTCCGCCATTCCAGTCGCAGATATTCCGTCGTATTCTTGTACATTCGAAACGCGGTCCGGCTGTTTCCACAAGTCAGCGTTGCTTCGATCACGAGTTGATTGCGTGCGTATACAGGGTCGGATTAGGAATTCATGACAATATTATGGATACATTCTTCCCAGTATTATATCAATGCACACAAAACTTGAGAAAATTAAATTATCTTGGTACAATCACACAACTAACTAAGTCCTTGGATTACATTTTGAACTCTATTCGTGAACGATTCCATCGTGTTTTTACCTTGCAGTCTAAGATAGCCGTTATAGCAGCAGTAACCAATCCTAGATTTAAAATGAGATGGTCGAGCGCCTTCAAAGATACTGATGTTCAAGTAACCGCAAAAGATACTCAATCTTGGATATCGAGTATTGCTTTGGCCTTTAAAGTATCAGTTGAGCCCGACTTGACAGCCCAAGAAGACCTTGAAGACGTGTTTTTTTGATTTTAAGGATGATGCCGAGGTTAATGTTTCTTCGGATACTGCTATAAGGCTCCATTCTACTGATACTTTTTAGAACCAGTTTGAATTCCTCAAATACCTGAATGATAAAATGACCACCTTGTCAAAGCTGAACGAATACAATATTGTTAAACAGTTATTTATAAAGTATAACTGTATTTTACCGTCATCTGCCCCCGTGGAACGATTATTTTCTTTCTCTGAAATAATTAATACTCCTAGACGTCATACCTTAAGTGACTCAAACTTTGAAAAGTTGGTACTGCTCAAAAGTAACAAACACGTATTTTAGGAAACGTATTAGTTATTTATTTTGTTGTTTTTTTTTTCAAAGTATCCGATATCCTAATCCTAATATGTATTTTGGTTAGGTACCTACTTTAAAATAATGTTATTCTTGAAAAACAATACCTATGTACATGTGTTGTTATTCTATTACTCATATTCTCATGTTATGTGTTACGTGTTAGGTTTATGACTTTGACTTCTTGATGTTACCCATTCCGACGAATAAAAAAGATATTGAAATATGAATAGATGAGTTTTTTATTTACTCGTATATGAGAAACAAACAATGATAAAAAGTAACAATGTAACAAAAACGCCGAGAAAACTCAAGATTTCAATTATTTTAATAAACCAAATATACATTTTATATTGTATGTTATACACATACAAACATATTGGATGGCCATTTTTATTGGTCATGTCTAAACGAAATAGTAGTGTACTTTATTAATTTATACAAAGCTATATATATTGAGTTTTAAGTTGATAACTCAAGAGGGGATCTTTAATTTAATATATACTTAAAACATGACTTAAGTAATAAGTATTTCATAAAAGAACTTTGAGTATTTTAAACATATTTTCAGTAATTAGAATTACTTCAGTATATTGAATTTACTTTAAGTATTTTTAAGGTATGTACTTGCTACTTATACTTGAATTATTTGTTTTAAGTAAAATACTTAACATTTCAAGTACTTTCGTAAAATACTTATAAGTAGATTTGAAATTTAAATTACTTTTTACTGATTACTTGAAGTACATTTGCTAAATATTTAACATATTTTTGCAATGCACTTTTAAATTTATCAAAGGAACTTAATATTATCACTGAACAAAAATATCTCGTCAAAGGTCATAGGCAGATGGAATGCGATAGTGTACATACTACCATAGAAAGAAAACTACGTATTAAAAAAAATTCCTTTCTAGTGATTATGTCCGAATAACAGAAGAGGCAAGATCAGAATCCGAAAAATATTAAGTCAAAATGTTAAAATACGATTTTTTTACCACTTTTAATGATAATTTGATATACTCGTCTATAAGACCTGGAAGAAAAGCCGGTGATCCAAATATGGTTGATCTAAGAGCCCTAAAATATACACCTGAAAGAATAATTTTTTACAAGCTTAATTTTGATAATAATTACACACCACTGCCGCAAAGAATAAAAAGAAATGAGTCGATTGTTTGTAAAGACGTTTTTAAAAAACTCCATAAAGAATGGCTAAAGATTAAAAAATAGTATATTACATTACGAGTGTGGAAAGTGACATTTTTCACACGAGTGTGGAAAATCACTTTTCACGCAAGTGATGTACAATATTTTTCCTACGACCACAAAATAATGTCATCAAAAAAATGTAAAACCAAGGTGATTATTACTATAATAATTAAAATGTATTTAAAAAAATAATCAACAATAATCGTATTTATTCAATTTTCATATTTTCTAAACAAAAAAAAACTAAAAAAAAAAAAAATAAAAAAAATCTGCCCCGCCAGGATTTGAACGCGGTCGAAAAATGGCAAAGTTGATAAGTTCGACCTCCTAACCACCTGAGCTAATAGCCCTTGTTTCAATTGAATGATCTAATTGATGATCGTGGTATTGATTTGAGGCCATCGAATTGTAAAGTGATCATAAAAGCGCTTAAAACCAAATTTTGAAAATCCTCCTTGGAATTTTGGGATTTTCCTTGAAAACTATGAGTCGTAGTAGAAAATGTTCAATAAAAAAGTTATAGTCGACAATATTTTCTACAATTTATCTCATTCGGTCAAAAAGTACATGGAACCAAAGTTTACAAAAATTAGTTTTTTTTGCTATTTCGATACAAAAATACTTTTTTATGCTAAAACCGTTCGTCTATGAAATATTAACAAAATTGATATGTATTTATTACAACCAACAGATTCGAATATATTATTTAATATTACTATATATTTTTATGCTTACCGCATGAGGGTTGTCTCGTTCCATCTTGATGTGACTCTGTATGACGGTCCTAAGAGCAGATTGTATAATTTCGGACATATCATTGTGCGTCAGTCCGACATCTTTTCTAAATAGTAACTCTAATATATCGCTCATATTCTTTATGCACCATTCAACCTAATCGATAAAATTCACAAAAAAACATTGCAACAAATTTTTCAAACAATATTAGGTATTAGTGGCAAATGATTTATGTATTATTTTGAATTAAATGTGTTTTATGTTAATGAAATTTGAATGTAAAAAATAAGTTTGCTGAATGATTTTTTTAATATATACATTTTGTGAAAATAAAAATGATGTGGAATTTTTTACAGTGAAAACATGTGAATTTAAGAAGACGAAATTAAAATAAAAATCATTCTTACTACTTTTAAATTTGTATCAAGGTATTTAGTATATTTTTTTTGGGGTATTTTTACTTTGATTTAAGCAATTAAAAATGTATACAAGCGTTACACTTCTATGAGAGCCACTTTTGTAGTAAATTAAGTTCTAATTTATAATTCTAACTGAGGCGACTTCATCTTTGAACGAAAATTGAAGTTCAGTTATAATTGCTATAGAGTTCCAAGTAGTTCCAGTATTACATGGGAATTTAGAGATGGACAGTAGCAATTCCGTAAACTTAAAAGACATTTGTTACGGCTCATCTCTAAATAACCAAACTTTTCTAATTTTTCACCAAGGACGAACTCACCTGGGTATCTATTCTTGAATATCGGGGAGTAGAAATTTTGAGGGAAGAATGAGACAAAAATACAAAATTTGTGCTGGGTTTTCTACTCCTTCGAATTCAAGAATAACTACCCTAAGTTCATAAATAAGGACATTAGTGGTGTTAAGAGTAACAGGAAGATTATTTAATAACAATAACATGAAAACTAACTTCGTTACAAGAAAGAAATACCGTAAAGTGGGGTTACTTTGCCAGCCGGGGCAACTTTACTTAAAAAACTAAAAAAATATTTTCTGTAAATCTGGCAACGCTGCTCTAATGCAGTTGGCGGCAAAATAATAAGCGATCAACAGGTTTTAGGCAGTACAAGTCCGGAGCTCGGTGAAGCGGTGCGCCATATTTGAAAATCATGTGAGTAAAAATTTTATTTTGACCTCGTTAAATCATGTTGCTATGCTAAGGGTTGTGTAATAAAAACTAATGAATCTTGATTTCTGGTTTTAACATCACCTAGTCCTGTGCATATGTGAGTTCTATTTCTGATATTAACAGTTTTCTAGATGCTAAATTTCCAATAATTTTTGCGGTTGGCAAAGTTGCCCCACATTGTGTGTTTTTTTTTTTAGAAAATGGTTCGAACGTATAAAAGACAAGTGGGTGCACGGAGTTATAAATATTATACCGAAGATCTGTTCTACTGATTAAAAGTAATCAAATGGGTTTTACCAAAGCATCCAAAACCTTCAATATTCCTAGAAGAACCCTAGTAAATAAAGTTTAAAAAAAACATTAAGTCCTGTTGGAGCACCTCAGCTAATCGCCCCGGAGATTGAACGGTCCATTGTCGACGTTATAATAGCCAATTCCGAATATGGCTGCCCCCTAACCATGACAGAATTGCGAGTAGTGTTAAAGAATCATTTAGACAAAGAAGGTGTATGCCTAAAGAAGTTCAAAGACAATTTACCAGGTGTAGACTGGTGCAAAAATTTTATTCATAGACACAAACATGAATTATCCAACAGACAGTGCCAAAATATTAAAAAAGTAAGAGCTGAGAAAGCAGATGAGGAAATGAACATTTACTTTGATAATTTAGAAAGAAATGTGGCAGGAATTCCATCTGGTTCCATCATTAACTACGACGAGACCAATCTGACAGACGATCTTGGATCGTCAAAATGTATTTTTAAAAAAGGGATTAAATACCCTGAACGCATTATGAACTCAACAAAGTCCTCAATATCCGTCATGTTTGCTGCCGCTGCAGATGGAACTATGTTTGTCCCATATGTTGTGTATAAGGCGGAGAGATTATTTGATTCCTAGTGTATCGGACCCCTTGGAAACCGTTATAATAGAACCAAATCTGGGTGGTTTGATCAGTACGCATTTGAAGACTGATTTACACAAATGGTTATACCGAGGAGTTAAACGTAACAATCATTAGTGTCAAAGAAACAATATTAGATTTATCTTTCTACCCTCAAATTTAACACATTTGACACAACCTTTGGATGTAAGCCCTTGAAGGTAGTTTGGCGCCGTATAACAACCTACAAAACCAAAAATCCACGAGACAGTACAGTAAACAAAAGCACTTTTCCTCATTTATTGAAAAAGGTAATTGAAGAAATAAAATTAAAAGACGAACAAATCATTCAAAATGGATTTAGAGCAAGGGGAACATACCCATGTAACAGAGAGGAGGTTCTTAATAGAATGCCTAATAAAAGATTTGATAGAACCAACACTGATATTAGCGGGACCTTGTTGGATTTCCTTAAGGAAAGTAGAGCTCCTTCAAAAGCAAGCAAGCACCTCAAAGAGAAAGAAGATGATAAGAACTGAACCTGGCAAATCTGTTGCAAGTGAGGATTTCACGACAAGTATTCCCAAAGAAAAGAAACGTGATAAAGTAAATTAAGAAACTGAAGAATATGACTGGACCACTGAAAGTGAATCTGAGGACAATTTAGAATTAGATGAAGTCGAGGATTTCCAAAAGACTAATGACCGCAATGACGAGCCTCAAGCCCATTGCTCCCATGATATTGTATCTAGCAAGACTGAAGATGAATCAAAATTAGTTAGAGTTAAAAATTCCGATTTTATACTTGTAGCAGTTTTAGGGAAAAAACAATACAAGTATTTTGTTGCACAAGTTATTGACAAAGAAAATGACTGCTGTAATGTAAAGTTTTTAAGACTAAAATCACAAAACAATTTTTGTTTTCCTAATATCAATGACACAGGCCTTATTCTTGAACACGATATTGTGACTATTTTAGAATCGCCAAAACTTGCATCGACATCAAGACAAATTTTTACATTCGAAATTTTTTGATTTTTCCAAATATAGCATGTTTTAGTTTTTTGTTTCGTAAAAATTTAAATGTTTATTTTGAAGCATTTGTTAAGTTTCTTTTGTGACTTACTACCTACTTAGAATAGTTAGGAATTATGTTATTATTTTGTTACCTAAGAGTTATTATTATTTTACCAACGAGTTGTTAATATTATTTTATAAGAGTTGTTTGTTGACTTGCAAAGAGGTAAATGTTCCTTTATTTTCTTAGAAATATACATTTTTAATTTTTATTAAAATATTTTTTTTACACATTAAAGGAGGGTAAAGTAGCCCTTCGAGACTGTTAACTTGGCCTGTACGCTTAAAAACGTGCAAAAATGCCAGTCGGCAAAGTAACCCCAAAGTCGAGGTAACTTTGTCAACTTTTTAAACTTTTAAAAAATGTGGTTCTAATTTTTTTTATGCTTTCTAATTACAAAACTATGTAGCCAAAGTATTAAATTTTTGATATAGTTAAAGCGGGCTTTATAATTCCCAATAGAACCATAGATATTAAATAAAAACAAACATTTTGTACAAAGTACCCCACTTTACGGTATCAATATTTCCTCAAATAAAACTGAAGTTGTAACTTATGTTTTATAATTAAGTACTGACGACTATGTAAACATTTTTATATATTATGTATTACTGAGAATAAATTATTTATATTTCTATATTAATTTGTGAACCAAACAGTGACTCCTGATACTGTTTACTGCTTCTAGATACTACTGCCATCCAAATCTGGATGGTAATTAATTCCCTAACTAGACCTAAACCATTAATGATGATAATAATTTAAAAAAATGGTGTTATACGTTAATAAAAAAGTACAACTGTAATACGAAAGTGACACTGTTGAAAAACGCTTCAAAATCTAATTTTTTAAAAGAAAAATATACTAAACACCTAAAAAATGATTATATCAATATAAATTTACGAAATGATTAAAAAAATGATATATAAAGGAATAGCTAAAATTATTCTCTAATTATTACGTTCACCTCTTCTGGATATCCAACATGTTGATTGACGAAATGTTCCGTAGTACCAAGAAGTTGAGCCACTTTGGCCACCGATCTGTTTTGCCTTCTTCCATCTTGCCTCGTTACACCCTATAATACCCAGTTCACCACTAAACTAACATACTAGTTCGCAAAATAAAAACAACTAACAGAAAAGTGGTTAGCACAAAAACTATAGTTTTTTTTATCGAATATTAGGTACGTTCATTGTAGATGCGGTTGTTGACAAAAGATAAAATGTTTTTATTTAAAATCTAATAAATGCTAATTAAAACTGTCAAATGGTGCTTTGGAGGTAACTCATAAAATATAATAACAGTAATTAAGAAAATTTCGGACATTCAACAGAATGAACCGTATTTTTAACTTCATTCTCGATTGTGCAACATTGTATTTATTAAACAATTAGAAAATATAAAATCTTTAATTGGCCTTTTTTTAAATGTGTGTCTCAAAAGTTTTGGCACAAATTTCTTAATACAATTTTGAAAATTAAAAATGGTTTCAAGGCAATTTTTCAAAATAGGTATAGTTAAACCAGAGATCTAGCGACTACCATAAAACAGCAGGTAATTTACTTATCAGCAGGCGGCCGTTTCTACGCAATGACGTACCTACCCTAGCCATTAAGATTTGTTCTGTAGGTCAGTAATTGGGGTAAAATAAATATTAAGAAAAATCGCTATAATTCAGAATTGTTTATTTAATTATACAGTGTGTATAAAAAGTAACGTGGTAACTTCGTAAAAGCAAAAATCAGTATGACAAAGTACGAAAAAGTAGGTAGGTAATAAAAGTACTAAAAAGTAAAAAATAAAGTATTTAAAAGTACAAAATGTAGGTTGTATATATTAAAAAGTATAACGTGGTGAAATGGTAAAAGTAAAAAATCGGTATGACAAAGTACGAAAAAGTAGGTAGGTAATAGAAGTACCAAAAAGTAGAAAATAAAGTATTTAAAAGTACAGAATGCAGGTTTAACACATAAAATATAATTATTAAAAAGTATAAAGTGGTAAGTCAGTAAAAATAAAAATCAGTATGACAAAGTACGAACAAGTAGCTAGGTCATAGTGATTGTTTCTACCCTTACGTTGTGGAATCTATTCATAATAAATAAAATATTAAAAAATGTAAAAATTCCACTATTGTCAATCCTGACGATAGAAGTGTATGCTTCTGAAACAATTGTCGATTTTGAATTACTCAGATAAGTATTTTTAAGCGATTGCATAGCTTTTATCGCGGGCTTTGAGCGCAGCGACCGAATCAAGAAATTCCGTAACGAAAATAAACCTAACACCCCCCACTCCGACCGGCACAGCGGTGCGGCGTTGAAAGCCGTGAAAGGTTTTATCCGACCCTATTCGTATTAGTATGAAGCGGAGTTAAATATACGTCTGCGGACTGGAACGTTTATGCAATACAAGAACTAGAAGAGCTTTCTCTGGCTTCTAATAAATTGGTATCACAAATTTTCCCAGCTGGCGTAAATATTAGATATTAATTTTTTTTTGCAAGATTTATAAAATATTAATTTTTATTTTATCAGTGTTAACTATTTCATTATTAAGCTATTACATAGATTTTATCGCGGGCTTTGAGCGCGGCGACCGAATCAAGAAATTCCGTAACGAAAATAAACCTAACACCCTCGAAAAACCGAAAAATCGAAAAAAATCTAAAAATCGAAAAAGAAATTCCGTAACGAAAATAAACCTAACACCCCCACTCCGACCAGCACAGCGGTGCGGCGTTGAAAGCCGTGCATCGTCCAACGTCGTTTCAGTTCGGCACGGTGTTTGTGTACGTTCGACTAGACGTATGCGTGTAGACTAGCTGCTAACTGCTCATAACTGATTCTATCTCTTTTAGACACAATTTCGGCAAAATTGAATTTGAAAATGAATAATGATCCACAAGAATCCACAACAAAATATGGGACTACCATTGACGCGGTATTTTCCAGGTATTTAGAGGATATCAAGTCTCAAACTTATGTTTCTTATTTCAGTTACCATAAATCTATAGTTTCAATGATAAAAATTCCTGAATAACCTACATGTATTGAAAGATAATAAAAATATTTTAAACAATATTAAGTTCTCATTTATTCAATAAAAGAAAAAAAATTGTTTTCTTATCGGTCACCACGCTCAAAAACTGTAACTTGAATTAATATCAAAGAAAAACTTGAATATCAAAGAAAAAAAAATACTGCATAAATAAAATAAATAATTATAATTACATAAGTTGATTAAAAATGCTATGCAATAGCTTTATCGCGGCAGTCCCCGAGTGCCACACGTATTTTTTTATTAATATAGTGGAATTTTTACATTTCATTTTCTAATATTTTATTTATTTAAACAAAATTACTCACTTTCACCTATCGTCATCCAAATTAATAATGAACCTTTCTCTTGGTATCTTTTCTATATCAATATATGTCTTTTCCACCTTTTTTATATGGGAAACACACTTGATCCAGCTGCTATCAGGAATTTTTGCAGCTACCACAGTCGAACTTAAGGTTGAAGAAGTATTATTTCTTCGAACTGCTAACTTAAGCTGACGCCATATATGTTCAATTGGGTTAAACATACAGTGGTAAGGAGGAAGTCTGAGCACCGTCTGTCCGAAGCTCTCAGCTAATGTGTCAAAAAAATATTTCTTTTGTATTGAATAGCTTTTTAAAACTTTCAGTAACTACTTTTTTGTGTACTTTTCCTCAAAGTTCAAATCATTGTTTACCATGTAATCTTTTTATCTAGTCTTCGACTGTGGAACCTGGCATTATCCATGACTATAACACTGTTGGGTGGAATATTTGGAAAAAGTTAGTTTGGAACCAATCTTCCAATAATTCGGCAGTAGTGTCGTCATGGTAATCGACTAAGGAGTCCTTAATATTCGATAACAACAACGCATTAGGTATAAAACCATTTATTGGTTCCTGCGTGTATTATAGTAATACGTTTGCCTTTATTATGTGGCGCACAATTCAGATGAGTCTACCCAACTTTTGTTTGGATAATCGTGTGTATCGAACCAAGTTTCATCCAAATACACAACTGTTCTGCCAGCTTCTCTAAAATCATTTATCGCTAATAAATATTGAAATCTCCATTGCTTAAGACGCACAGATTCCATTATGACTTTTTTGCTGTTATTAATTTTTTTAAATTTAAACCCGTTTCTTACAAGAGACTTCCTTAAAGTCTCTTTTCTACACTGGATGCCAGTTTCGTCCTTTTTAAGTCGTTGCATTAATATATCTAGTGTAGGTACAATTTGCTCTCTATACAAGTCGTATATTTTCCCTCGAATTAGGTCTACATCACAGCCATCTAGTTTCTTTGAAGTACCAGAGTCTTTTCTTTTCCTTATTTTTAAAACAGGGTTACTTACTATTCTAAATACTGTAAAATATAATGTTTTCGTTAAAAAGGCAGTTTCTCGCACTGCTTGAGTCTTGGTCATTCCACGTTCCATAAGGGACGTATAAACACTTAATATTTTTTTCCCATCAACGTGTAAAATTTGTCGATTAATGGTATTACCACCACCAGTTGAAGTACTGGCTACAGGTTCAACTCATGGACGGAACATTTTTCACTATATAAAATTTTTAAGACACTCCGAAATAAACGCAATTGACACAACGGAATATTCGTTAATGACTGAATTTAGTTTAACTACTATCCTCCTTTCGTTTCTAAAAACGGTAATTGGTCAGTTCTCAAAACAGTTACATACTAACTCCACATTATTTATTTAACTTTCTCTAATCTGTCTGGAATTATAGGACTCGATATCTTAAACACTAGTATTCTTGTCTTCAAAGTCTGGTAATTTATTTGTAACTCTATATCCCATTATAGCTAATTTCCTTAATAGACGTTTAGTACAGAAAGTCAGGTGGTCAGGCAAGTACATATATTTATAAATTCCAGGAAATTTTTTTATTATAAAAATAGTTTTACATTCAAAACTGTTAACAATTGAAATAGAGAGCCCTCAATTATAATATTAAAAAAACATATTCTTTACTATTTCATGAGAATATATATTTTAATCCGGACCTGGGAATCTTTTAACCCACAGACAATTTTATCGCTTATCTACAAATCGAACAATAGTGATAATGAGGGTCGTCGGCTAATATAATTTATGAGTCACTAAATCTCTGGTTTTACTATATAATGAACACCTTTATAAATACCAAAATTTTTATTTTAAATCAAATGTGAAGCTTCAAAAATACGCAGTCTTCTGAGAATATCTCGCATCAGTTCTTAGACCGTTTCACTATCAACATCCCAAATTGATACTCGTTTTCGGTTTCCCAACTCCCAACACTCTTCGAGACAAAATGGCCCAGAAATTCTCAATTGTAAATTTTATTTTTTTCAAAGAGTTGTAATTTGTGACAAAACTTTTGAGACATACGTTAAAGCAAATATATTGTTATTTTATTTTTTGTTAACAACACATCAACCATAAAACCTACAAAGTGGTTAAAATAAAATCCACACCAAAAAGTTTGTTAAAACACAATAAAAGTTATATGAAAAAAAAAATTATATAAAAATATTTACGTGTAAAAATTTGATCTAAAATATAAGACCTAATTTTGTAAAAAATAGGCACTAAACTATTTAAATATAAATCAAGTAGTTTTTTTTTTAATTATATGTAAAATTAAAAAAATTTATATTGGCAGAAATATATTAAACTAAAAAGTTGCTAATCATGCATAAAAGTGTTCTAAAACTACTAAATCTACTGTGCTTTATTATTTGGGATGCCCACCTTAAAATAAAACGTTTTATATATAATTCGATGAATTATTATTAATTCAAACTTAATTTTCATTTCAGTTGTTTTTATATAAACTACTTAAAAGGAAAAAGTCATTGCATTCTTTTTTTAAATCTTATTTGTGCTTCTAATAAACATAAATTTAATTGCCTACTTAATAAACCTAGATTACAAAAAAAGTGCTGGTTATATTTTGAAAGAAGAATAATACAGGTATATAAACAAAAAAAATTGTAACAAGTTACTACAATAAAAAAAAAATATAT